GCTTTCTTCTTTTTGGATGTGTGCATTTATTGCTATAAACTGACCTCTGAGCAATGCTTTTGCTGTGCCACAAAGGTTCTGGTAGGATGTGTTTTCATTCTCATTTGATTCTATGAATTTCTTTATTCCATCCTTAATTTCTTCTGTAACCCAGTATTTTTTGAGCAAGGTGTTGTTCAGTTTCCATGTGTTTGATTTTTTTTTCATTGGGTGCATAATATTTATTACAGTTATGTCCTCCTGATGTATTGATCCCTTAATCATTATATAGTGTCCCTCCTTATTCTTTGTGGTGGATATTACTTCAAAATCTGTTTTGTCTGAGATTAATATTGCCACTTCTGCTATTTTTTGAGTGCTGTTTGCTTGATAGATTTTTTTCCATCCTTTGGGTTTTAGTTTGTGTTTTTAAGTCTAAGGTGAGTCTCTTGTAGGCAGCATAGAGGTGGATTGAGTTTTTTTATCCATTCTACCACTCTCTGTCTCTTCATTGGTGCATTTAGTCCATTTACAGTCAGCATAATTATTGATAGGTATGAGTGTACTGCTGTCATTTTCATGTCTTTTTTGTATGTTGTTCACAGTTTCTTAGTTCCTTTTAATTTTCTGTGCTGAGTCGTTTTTCTGTATGTATTTTCTTTTCATCTTTTTCATTGTTGTTTTTGTATTTGCTGAATCTTTATATTTTTCTTGTTTTTTATTTTAGTATGTAGAATTGTTAGTTTCCCTTGTGGTTACCTTAATATTTACCCCTATTTTTCTAAGCTTAAGCCAGTCTTTTATTACCTTATATTGCCTTGACTTCCTCTCCATATGAAAAATCTATGTCTACATTTTTTAAGTTCCTCTTTTTTGTTTTAATATTGTCCTTTTTTACATATTGATATCTCTGTTTCTCTATTTTCAGTGTTTTAGCTTTGATGTATTTTTGATTTCCCTATCTGAGTCGATATCTGGTTGCTCTGTCCTGTATTCTAGTCTTGTGTTGTTAACTGATGTTATAGATTTTCTAACCGGAGGACTCTCTTTAGTATTTCTTGTAATTTTGGTTTGGTTTTTGCAAATTCCCTAAACTTCTGTTATCTGGAAATGTCCTAATTTCACCATTATATTTGAGAGACAGTTTTGCTGTATATGTAATTCTTGGCTGGCAATTGTTTTCCTTCAAGGCTTTATACATGTCATCACATTGCCTTCTTGCCTGCATGGTTTCTGCTGAGTAGTCTGAGCTTAGTCTTATTGACTCTCCTTTGTAGATGACTTTTCGTTTATCTGTAGCTGCTCTTAAAATTCTCTCTTTATGTTTGGTTTTGGCAAGTTT